AATGGTTAAATTGGCAACATTTGTCTTTTAAGGTTTCAAGAAGTTCAGATAGTTTTCAGATGTTCTGCATTAACTATCTCTGCCATTCACAGCACTGTCTCACTCCCAGCACCACAGTTAAATAAGCCTGCAGGCTAACTAACAGGGGAATTGAAATCCTAACCCTGGTGGTGCACGCTCCTCCTGTTAATCTACATGGGATCCGCCCCCCCACACACACACAGACACTTCTTCTCCCCACTTGTTCTCTGACCTCCTCATCTTTGCATTTCACTTCAGTTCTCTCTCTCACACACACACACACATACACACCCTCTCTCCCCTCAGTGTCACACACTGTTGTCAAAACAAGCAGAGTGTTTGGGGACCGTCCACAGCAGCAGGACGTCTACTGAACCAGCCTGTACTGCATCATCCATATACATACAGTATGCACGGCACACTTTTAAAATGTAATGGGAGCAATTTGATGGTTCCCCCCGTGTCGGTGTGCGTCACACGACGTCCCCAGGCGTTCCAGACGTCCCAACTTATTTATTGTTCTGCTTTTTTACATCAAGTGGGAAATATTACACACAGTCTTATATGATTCCTATAGGGTAAGACTTCTTGTGTGGGAAAAATGTTTCTCCACTAACCCGGAGTAGTTGCCGGAGCCTGGCTCACGAATGCCAATAGCCTCAATGAAAGCAACGGAAGATAACAACTGTTGGCCTTGGCAATGCTTTAGTTAGTTACTGTCTTACAGGAGTGATTAATATAAGAGGCAAAAACAAGAATAAACAAAAGACAAGACATGGAAAGACAAATGGAACAAATATCAGTGTGGTGAGGAGACAGTAGACACACAGAAGGAGAGGAGACAGTAGACACACAGAAGACAGATGATGGTGATTGTACTGATTACAAAGAAGGTGAAGACAGACGCACCAGCTGATATCCCGTTTCCTTTTCCCTTTTGTCTCATGCTGAGTAATGCTGCGCCAGAGTGACAGAGCATCCACAAAACAGTTCACCCAATCGTTTCCAATTCTCTCAAAACCCAAATCGCATCAGTCGGGGCTTCTGAGGCAGTGCTAAGTATGTGGACGGTAAACAAAGACGGGCAGATTGGCCTAATCATTTACGGGAACTACGACCTGCAGAACAAAACCATTTATCTCGGGCGAGCGGCGGGGAAAGTCTTGAGAAATGTTTTTGTTGTTGTTAGAGGGGGCCACTGTGCTCAGAATGTGAAAGAATGGGTGTCACTCTCTCCACGTTTATCACTCAGGCTCTTTACGTTTAAGGCACAATGATGAAGAAACGATGTATAGGCTCACACAGTAACAATCCCTCTCGATCAATACTCATGACGCACTTGAAACTGAGGTGTCTATATCTGCAGGGACCCTGCCCTTATTATAAACCATAATAGACTGGTCACGGGTGACAGCTCCCGTCCGCATTCCACAGATCGGTGTGTCTTTGCTTAGGGTTTGGGTATCAGCTGGTGCAGGTGTGGTAGAGCAGAGAAGAGTGGAAATGGGCAGGTAGGAGGTCTGGAGCTGGGAACCCAGGGCCTTGGCTTTTACCATTATTGCAAGCTCAACAAGCGTAATAATGCTTTCACCTTGTGAGTCACCAGCTGTTTATAATGTTCTGTCACAGCAATAGCTTTGCATATGTGCAAGATGTCATCGTGAATATTTACGGGTGTGTAGTTGAGATCAAAATGAAGGCCTAGGTCGAAGGTGGGTAAGGTGGCTGGAAGTAGAGAGGTAGCAAGTGAGAAAGGGGCCCCTTTACTTTACGCCCCTGGCCTGGTTAACAATTAAATGTTCAGATGAAGGCAGTGATATGTTTAAATAGTAAAATAATTATTTTGCTATAGCAAGTACTGTCTTTAAGCTTTTTTTCCCCCATTACATTCGAGTCAAAGAGATGAAAGCATCAAATGTTCCACAAAAAAAAAGGCTGCTTCCAAAGGAATTTCCAAAAATTGCTCAAAGACTCTTCTGACCATGTGGAGGAAAGACATGTTCAGTCTGCTACAAAATAAAAGCCTTTCTAACCCGTTTCTCAGGTTGCAACTGTTTTATTTCCTAATCCAGGCAGCCAGAAATGAAATGCTCTTGTTTTTATGATACTAATAATAATGACTTTCTTTACTTTTCTTAACATAGTTGCAAAGTGCTTTAACAAAGCAGATGCAGTACTGCAATGAAACATTAAAAAGTGAAATCAGATAAATGCAATCAAATACATTTTATTAAATGATAATGCCCACGACAAAATCATTCACATCAGTTATGAAACATTTGAAAGAGGTTAAATTTAGCTTGACAGAAGATTGGAAAGTAACGTCAGTATAAACCAACATAAGATTAATACGAATTTAAATTTTGGCTCATATTGTACAAATTGAGTGAGGAGGTACAGTTGTGTGAAAAAGTGTTTGCCCCCTTCCTGATTTCTTATTTTTTTGCATGTTTGTCACACTTAAATGTTTCAGATCATCAAACAAATTTAAATATTAGACAAAGATAACACAAGTAAACACAAAATGCAGTTTTTAAATGAAAGTTTTTATTATTAAGGGGGAAATAAAATCCAAACCTACATGGCCCTGTGTGAAAAAGTGATTGCCCCCTAAACCTAATAACTGGTTGGGCCACCCTTAGCAGCAACAACTGCAATCAAGCGTTTGCGATAACTGGCAATGAGTCTTTTACAGCGCTGTAGAGGAATTTTGGCCCACTCATCTTTGCAGAATTGTTGTAATTCAGCCACATTGGAGGGTTTTCGAGCAAGAACCGCCTTTTTAAGGTCATGCCACAGCATCTCAATCGGATTCAGGTCGGGACTTTGACTAGGCCACTCCAAAGTCTTCATTTTGTTTTTCTTAAGCCATTCAGAGGTGGACTTGCTGGTGTGTTTTGGATCATTGTCCTGCTGCAGAACCCAAGTGTGCTTCAGCTTGAGGTCACGAACAGATGGCCGGACATTCTCCTTCAGGATTTTTTGGTAGACAGCAGAATTCATGGTTCCATTTACCACAGCAAGTCTTCCAGGTCCTGAAGCAGCAAAATAGCCCCAGACCATCACACTACCACCACCATATTTTACTGTTGGTATGATGTTCCTTTTCTGAAATGCCGTGTTACTTTTACGCCAGATGTAATGGGACATACACCTTCCAAAAAGTTCAACTTTTGTCTCGTCAGTCCACAGAGTATTTTCCCAAAAGTCTTGGGGATCATCAAGGTGTTTTCTGGCAAAACTGAGACGAGCCTTTATGTTCTTTTTGCTCAGCAGTGGTTTTCGTCTTGGAACTCTGCCATGCAGGCCATTTTTGCCCAGTCTCTTTCTTATGGTGGAGTCATGAACACTGACCTTAATTGAGGCAAGTGAGGCCTGCAGTTCTTTGGATGTTGTTCTGGGGTCTTTTGTGACCTCTTGGATGAGTCGTCGCTGCGCTCTTGGGGTAATTTTGGTCGGCCGGCCACTCCTTCCTAGGAAGGTTCACCACTGTTCCATGTTTTCGCCATTTGTGGATAATGGCTCTCACTGTGGTTCGCTGGAGTCCCAAAGCTTTAGAAATGGCTTTGTAACCTTTTCCAGACTGATAGATCTCAATTACTTTGTTTCTCATTTGTTCCTGAATTTCTTTGGATCGCAGCATGATGTCTAGCTTTTGAGGATCTTTTGGTCTACCTCACTTTGTCAGGCAGGTCCTATTTAAGTGATTTCTTGATTGAGAACAGGTGTGGCAGTAATCAGGCCTGGGTGTGGCTAGAGAAATTGAACTCAGCTTTCCAAAGATGTGATAAACCACAGTTAATTTATGTTTTAACAGGGGGGGGCAATCACTTTTTCACACAGGGCCATGTAGGTTTGGATTTTTTTTCCCCTTAATAATAAAAACCTTCATTTAAAAACTGCATTTTGTGTTTACTTGTGTTATCTTTGTCTAATATTTAAATTTGTTTGATGATCTGAAACATTTAATTGTGACAAACATGCAAAAAAATAAGAAATCAGGAAGGGGGCAAACACTTTTTCACACAACTGTATTTAATTTCTGGCCACCATCTTTGTTTGGATTAAGAAACAGTTGCAAAGAAACATGTTAAAAATATATATATTTGTTGTCAAAAGAAAAGATTATTTTCATTTGAACATTCTGGAAATCATGTTAGAACAGTGGCACTTGCTGTCAAGAAGCCTTCTAGGTTTTTCAATGAATGCCTGTTATCATATTTTTAATTTTCAGAATCTTGTCAGCATCACGAGAGTCAAACTTTCTTGTGTCACAAGGTGACAGTATTCAAATAGTCCAAAACCCAAATATATCAATTTACCATCATGCAAGAAGAAAAAGAAAAAAGCAACACATCCTCACATTTGAGAAGCTCACCTTTGGAATTTCTGCTTGAAAAAAAAATGTCATCGATGATCCATATTACAGATTCATTTTCTCTCAATCAATGAATTGCATGAAACGCCAATCATTTCAGCCCTACCCGCATAGCCACGAGGACACACATCCACTGGAGAACACATCACACCTGCAGCATCCTGCGAGCTGCTCGAATTTAGCTCAACTTTTTAGTTTTAGACTCTTTTTCCTTTCAATTATTAAGAACTGATCATCTGGTAGTTTGCAATTTCCATTTCTCCATTTAGCTGAAAGAAGCATCATGTTATTGATGTTGGTGAGAATGCCAGTTTCCTGGCAGAAATAAACCTGCAGTGAGATGACAAACATGTGGCTAAATGATCTTAATATGTTGTATTAAAACCTAAATATCTTAATAACATTGACCTCCTTTCAGTGAAGGCTATGATGTATTTTAGTGTAGTTTGCAGTAAAAATCACCAGATATCGGTGCGCAAAAAAACGGGATTTTGGAGACACATTTTGGCGTAAAACTGTACAGTTTGTCAAGCGTTATGGCAGACATGTAAACTATGTAACGTCCCAAATCCAACACTAAAACCAGCAACAAGACACCCACCTGTAGCACGGTCTTAATAGTGACAGGAGAGACGATGGTGGTGCATATCTTCTCGCCTTTACGCATCACCTGGCCCATGACGAAGAGCATCGGCGCAGCGAGCACGAAGGACGCGAGCCACATGGCGCTGATGAGCTTCTTGGTGCGGCTGCGGGACATGATGCTCTTGGCTTTGAACGGGTGGCAGATGGCCATGTAGCGCTCCACGCTCAGGCTGGTGATGTTGAGCGCCGTGGCGTAGGAGCAGCTGTCCCGGAGGAAGTAGTAGCCCCTGCACATGCCGTCGCCGAACACCCACGGGTGGTGGAACCAGATGAAGTTATAGAGCTCGATGGGCATGGAGAGCAGGAGGATCAGCAGGTCGGAGACGGCGAGGCTGGCCAGGTGGTAATGCACGGTGCTCTGGAGGTTCTGCAGCGTCTTTTTGGTCAGCAGGGTGTACAGGGTGACAGAGTTCCCCAGAGAGCCCACGGCGAACAGAGCAGCGTAGATGACGGTGACTATCACCCTGGAGTAAACATCCGTGTTGACCTCCAAGTCTTCCCCATCTGTCTTGGTGGTGTTTTCAAATGGAAACAGCGAGTCGTTCCCAAAGAGTCTCTGCGCCAGCGCGCCCAAATCGCGTCCGGAGAGTGTGAGATTTAAATCCATTACAGCTCTAGGCTATATGTGGAAATATTGAAACTGAAAGTATGTTTGTTTAAACTGAGCGGCCATCTGTTTGACTTTCACTTCAAGCCGGAGTAACACAGGTTCAGTCTCTGAGAGTCGGAGGAGAAGAGCTCTTTATATGAGGCACGACACGGAGGAGCGCTCGCTATTGGATCTGCTTCGATGACGCACATCCATTCAGTTAGTGCTGCCGTTAATATTTTCTCCGTTCATGTTTCACCTTTGAGAACAGAAATAACGTGCAAAGACCAACAACTCGAGAAAAATCAGCATTTAATCTCAAGTATACTTTCTGACACTTTTTTGTTTAGTGTACCTTTGACACCCAGAACTCTCTTTTGTGTCTCTGTGTGTGTGCGTCGGGGTTTCTCCACTTTCTCCTCTCTCACTCGGGCACAAATAAATAATGTTAGGCAACAGCTAGAGAGTTACAACTGTTCGGTGTCATTGTGTTCGAGGCTGAAGTTAAGATCGTGTCTTCTTCAGCGCTAATGAACCAGTCTGTGTGGAGAAATATCATCATTGGACAGGGAAGAGAGGAAATGGTACTCCGATGGTTGCTTCGCAGCTGCCACTGCTGGGATCAATGTAGCAAAGCAGGTCCTCCGCTGACACACACACACACACACACACACACACACACACACACACTCTATCTTGTACTTATTTCTTTGTGAGGACACCAGACACAATGCATTCCCTTGCCCCTTACCGTGGGTATGTAACTTCCTGTCACCATCTTTGTTTGGATTAGGAAACAGTCGCTGAGAAACACGTTAAAAAATGTTCATTTTTAAAAAGAGAGATTTTTTTATTTGAACATTCTGGAAATCACTTTAAAACAGTGGCACGTGCTGTCAAGAGACCTTCTGGGTTTTTCAATGAATGCCTGTTATTTAAATATTTTTTTCAGAATGCCATCATCTCGAGAGCCACACACTTGGTTGTGTCACAAGGTGACTGTATTCAAATAGACCAAAACCCAAATATATCCAGTTTACTATCATGCAAGAAGTAGAGACAAAAAAACACATTCTCACATTTCAGAAGCTGACCTTTGGAATTTCTGCTTGAAACATTTTTTTCTTCAATGATTGATCGATGATCCAAATATTTACGGGTTCATTTTCTATCAATCGACCAATCGCATGAATCGCCAATCATTTCAACTCAAGGTTCACAGCCAATGGGACACCCATCCACTGGAGAACACATCACATCTGTAGCACCCTAGGAGCGGCTTGAAGTTTGCTCATCTTTTTAGTGCCGCTCAATGAGTCTTTTTCCTTTCAATTATTAAGAACTGATCATCTAGTTTCCAATTTCCATATCTTTATGTTGAATATATATAAGCATCACGTTGTTGAGGTTGGGGAGTGTGCGACCGACTCTTTCTCGGCATAAAATGAACCTGACACTGCTGGGATCAATGTAGCAAAGCAGATCCTCCGCTGACACACACACCCTTGTACTTATGTCTTTGTGAGGACACTAGACAATGCATTCCCTGGCGCCTTACCCTAACCTCAACCATCATAACTAAATGCCTGACCCTAAACTAAACCCTAACCCTAACCCTAAGCTTTTAACCTGAACTCTCAACATGTCCTATGAAGGTCGGTCCCAAAGTGAGGACCAGCCAAAACATGTCCTCACTCTGAAGGTCTAAAACTACGGTCCTCACAAAGTTAGCTGTGCAAGTATAAAAACACACACGCACACAACGAAAGTTAATGTTCTTCAAAATTTCAACTCTTTTAGTGGGCACGTCTCCATTGTGGAGCTCATTATTAATCATGTGCGTTGCATGCCGCACACACCTACTGTAACGTATTAAAGCATGGGTGTGTTTTTGTGCTGCAGTATGTTATTTTTTTCTGCTGCTTGGCATCAACAACCTGCTGGTGATATACTTCAGACTGTGAGGAAACCTTTTCTTCCTAAATAGGAAATAGCTCCACGTTTCCGGCCCCGGGGGCCAATGTCTCGTTTAGGGTTCAGTGTGTTTGCTGACAGGCTGTCACGGAGGAATACAACATATAGCATTACTTATAACTGTCAGATGGTCACAGTTTGGCTTGTGTCCAGTAGCATTTAAGAATAAGTGGATGTATAGTATATATTGTATCTTTGCAGTACCATAGATACGTTTACTGTGGGACAGGATGTCTTTTTTTTTTACTAATGTTTTCCCTTATCTCATCCATTTCCTTAAGGGGTCAATGGGGTGTTAGGTGGTTAGGGTTAGTATTTAGAAGACAAAAACCTATTCACACGAGATTTTATTTTCTGTTGAAGTCAATTCAAGAGTTAACTGTGTTTTTTTACAAAAGCCAACAAGCGTCAATTTTCCGCTCATTACATGCATACAGTATTTTCAAAGTCTTGTCTTCACAGGAAATAATTTAGTTAGGATTAGGGAATGTGACAATTAAATCAAAGCTGACTTGTCATGCTACATTGGGAACAAACGGTGGTCACCTTTGTTTGAAATATCCACCTTCCTACCCGCTCGCCCTGTGTTTTGTATAAGTGTATACCTTTTATTGATTATTAAGAATTACATTAAAGTGACTCGGATTGTATGTTCTCCGTTGGTGACATCCTTCTGGCTTCGTTGGGAGACGTACAGATAATGACAGTTCAAAAAATAAATAAAAGCCCATTAAAGGATGTTTTAGACAAACTTACAAATCTAAATGTGTGAAAGTTTTGTGGAAATTTGTCACATGGAAAATAAAGACAACTTAAATATAAAAGTTTCACTTGTACCAGTCCTGACATATACAGGCTTATCGACTGCTTCTGTCCTGTATAGTTGGTCTTTTTGACAGAACGTCTTTTATAAGTAAACAATGTAAAGACCAGCCAAGTAGTGGTCATATTTATCCAATCCCAACATGTCAGGTGATCTGTGATCTCACCCAGATTCAACATAAGCAACTAAATGTACGCAGGCCTATGCTTAATACGGAGTTTGGTTGTATGTATGCGTAAAATGTTTAACTATTTATTTTTAGCTGTGACGGCACATTTCTACACTGAAGCTGTGTGGTATTTGTGGATAGGAACACACATTTGTGAACATCGTAATGTATCCACAAATCCTCACATTTATCATTTTATTTATTGATTTCATCATTTGTGGATGATGGAACACATTTCTCACTTCCAACTCTAAACAAAACTTGGACACTGAATATACTTTTTGATGTGCTTCCTAGTGCATCAGCTGCTTACTCCCAACAAGAAAGTCATACAGTATTAAGACTAGGTGTTCACCTCTTCTCATTGAATGCCTCAAATGGCAAAATGTGATTTTCTGCATGCCAGTGGTGTTACATAATTCACAGAATGTGTATTTTCAACCTGATGTTTTATTTTGTAACAAAATTGACACCATGAAATGAAACCAGCAAAAAAAAAAAAAGAGAAAAACATTCATTAGCTAAACCGTTGGCAAAAGGCTTGCAGAAGTTCTGCAGTCCACATATAACTGGACCATGTGACAAACAATGAAAATTCCTAAACTTGGTTTACACCCGACAGCAGCGTAAGATAAATGGTTCTTTGGTCAGACGACTGAAGACCTGCTATCCAATCTGAATTTCTCATTTGCAGTCTTTTCTTTTACAAGCATGCCCGGTCTGTTATATATACAGATAATGTACACATCTGAAGGGAAAGCCCATAATGAGAGGAAATGTAAATTAACCAAAATCCAAATTACTGAGATTAAACAAAAGTATTTATTTACTTGTTAGCAAAACACTCTTGTGTTCTGCATGGAGTGGATGGGTTCAAAACAGATGTAATTTTATATAAACATGGAGTAAACAAGACATTCGACATTTCCCACAATGCAGGATATGCACAGGTGTAGAATCCCACTTGGTGGAACGCCAAGCCGTCAAGGGAGAAGGCAGACAGAACCCAGAGACAGAATCTCGTGGTCGGGGACAGAAGGCTGAGTTGTTTACCGGGGCAGAGGCAAGGTGGAGAAGTCCAAACAGGCAGGATCGGTAACGGGAAATCAGTCGGAGGGTAAACGCTGGAAGGTCAGGCATAAATGCGGAGAACGATCTGGCAGTGAGTGTGTGTGAGACTGGGGTCTAAATAGTGAGTGCCGCAGAGTGAGCAGGTGAGAGTTATGAGCTGATGAGGTGGGTGTGACTAGCAGGTGCACTGAATGAGCTGATTATGTGAGTGAGAGATAGAGTGACAGGAGAGAAGTGGCAGAGCTGTTACAATAGCTGCATCGCTCTATGGATGGCAACCAAATAGAAACATTTCAAAAAAGATATTGGATGGATTGCCATGCAATTTTGTACAGACATTCTTGTTCCTCAGTGTATGAATCCTAATGACTTCGGTGATCCCCTTACTTTTCCTTTAGCCCAACCAGGAGATTGACATCTGTGGTTTTCACATTTTACATTTCATATTTCCAACACTTTGGTTGATGATGAAAAAACAGCAAAACTAAAGACAGTCTTTTGAGCTTTACTTTGCATTTGTTGCTAATTTAATTAGAACATGTTAACACAATAATGGGGTTAATATTATACCTGCTATACATTAGCATGTTAGAATTGTCATTGTGAGCATGTAAGCATGCTGACATCAGCCTTCAACTAGAATCACCACTGTGCCTACTGTAAATACAGCCACACAAAGCCGCTATGGCTGTAGGCACCCAGGCCACGATAACACTTTTGTGATCCGATGCACCACATCGGAACTCGGCTGTGTCAGCATTTGTCTGACCACCCTTGACACTTCAATGCGATCAGATTTATTTTGTGTTCAAAGGAGTGGCTGTAAAATGGTGGATAACCAAATGTAATTTCCTATAAATTCTTCACAATAAAAGTCCCCTGAAAACTCCTCCTAGATTTCTGTTAAAAGTCCCCTGTGACCTTCAGTCAATGTAACCATCAGTAAGATTATGCTGCAGAGAATGTACCTTGTTATGAACCTTATTTGGCATTCAGCTGCTTCTCTTTTTCTCGATTTGTGTGGAAATATAACAGGTGACTTTCTCCAAGCTATTTCCAGTATAGACTGTAT